TTTTTGCACAAAATGATAACAACATATGTAGTAGTTCCATAATCAAGTTGCATGCAAAAGCTAGGTGCACCGAGATAAGGGCTTTATAAAATCTATAAAAAGCTGCAGCAATAAATATAAACATACATATATAAAAATATTTTTACCCTGAAATAAAGAACGAGAAACGAACGAGAATAATGAATAAATACCTTCGTTGTGAACTTGAAATGCACTTCAAAACTTAGCGTATCTCAAAGTAACGGTAACTGAGATAATCAAATCTTGTTTTATTTCCTTCAGGTATTGATAACTACGACTTCATTGTTGTTGGCTCGGGTTCGGCAGGTGCTGTTGTTGCTGGCAGACTTAGTGAAAACCCTAACTGGAAAGTTTTATTGCTAGAGGCTGGCGGTGATCCCCCCATCGAAACAGAGGTAAGTCAAATAGAAAAAAATACTTTTGTGGGTTTTTAGAAACACTTTCTTCCATTCACCCTTAATTCAGTTTGTTGGATGGCACATCACTACGCAGTTCACCAACTGGGATTGGCAGTACCATGCCGAACCGAATGGCAAAGCTTGCATGGCTATGGAGGGAGGCAAATGTCATTGGCCGCGTGGCAAGATGTTGGGCGGTACTAATGGCATGAATGCAATGATCTATGCGCGCGGCACACGAGGCGACTTCGATGACTGGCGTGATCGTGGCAATCCCACTTGGGGCTACGACGATGTGTTGGAATATTTCCGCAAAGCGGAAGACTTACGTTCGACCAGCAAAGACTTCAAGGAGGGTGATTTTGGCAAAGGCGGCCCTATGGGCTTGAATCGTTATCTCTCGGACAACGAGTTTCGCACTACGATACGCGAAGGTATGGCTGAAATGGGTTATGGCAGTTCGCCGTCGTTTAGCGAAGGATCTTGGGTGGGACAGATAGATATTTTAGGCACACAAGACGGCGGTCGTCGTATTACCACAGCACATTCGCACTTACCTAAAGAAAGAAAGAATTTGCATGTTATTCGACATGCACATGTCAAGCGCGTGAACTTCGATGAGCAAAATCGCGCAACCGGCGTTACGTTTGTGCTGAAGGGCAAAAAGGAATATGAGGTAGGCGCTAAGAAGGAAGTGGTGCTCGCCGCTGGAGCGATTGGCACGCCACAAATTTTAATGCTGTCGGGTAAGTCTTCGAAGTACTATAGCAACCACATTACTTTTAAATAAACATCACTCTTTGTTCTAGGTGTTGGCCCCAAAAATCACTTAAAAAAGATTGGCATACCAGTCGTGTTGGATCTGCCAGTTGGCGAGAATCTGAAGGATCATGCCAGCTTGCCGGTTATATTCCAAATCGATAAATCCACCGCACGCAAGCCCACCGATGAGGAGCTCGTTGATGCCATGTACAACCTGCTGATGGGTCGTTACAGCAAGCTGTTGCACCATGAAGCCACAGCGCTGACGGGTTTCATTAACACCACTTCGCTGCATGGTCCATACCCCGACATTCAAACCACAAACTTCTTTAGTTTGATGCAGAGCCCTGAGCTAAAGGGTTATGTGGCTGCTACAGGCTTCAATGAGCGCGTTGCCAAATCCATACTCTCAGCCAACGAGCACAGCAATACATACATCACTTATCTGCTGCACCTGAAACCCTTCTCCGTAGGTCATTTGGAGCTAAGCAGCGCCAACTATCTGGATAAACCGAAAATCTATCCCAACTATATGTCCGATGAACGTGATGTATATACATATATACGCGCGTTGAACATTTACTCTAAACTCCCGGAAACAAAAGCGTTCAAAAAACGCGAAGCAGTTCTGCATAAAATCGATCTGGAGGAATGTAATGCTTTGCCTTATAGATCGGACGACTACTGGCGATGCTATATCAGTCACATGACTACGACAGTGTACCATCCAGTAGGTACAGCAAAAATGGGTCCTTACGGTGACGCCACAGCTGTGGTGGACTGGCGACTTCGGGTACATGGAGCGAAAAATCTTCGTGTTATTGATGGTAGTATTATGCCCGACATTGTGGGTGCGAATACAAATGCAGCCATTATTATGATTGGCGAGAAGGGTGCTGATATGATTAAGGAAGACTGGGCTGAGAAGCACACCGAGTTGTAGGACAGTGATAATATTATGTGTGTAAATAAATGTTTTTTTGTAAAAAATCGTTCACTCTGTAGTGGCAATGAATTGGAAATCGCTCAAAATGGAGGAATATATTTATTTTAGTAATAAGTCCTACATCGCTCAGCCATCAAGTGCGCACCTGTAAAGTGGTAAGATTTAAAAGGGGAGGATTATCTCAGCGCTAGTCGCAGCGGTTTGCGACAGTCGAAAAAAATACATGCGGCATCCTTTTGTGGTTTCCCAAAATATGGACATACTTGGGCCACTGTTATTGATCCTTAGTGATATCACTGCGAACGGTAACTGCTAAGCTAAGGTGAAAAACTCTGCATGCCAAAAACGAGGTTCAATGACGGCAGATGTAAGTTGTGGAGAGCTCATCTGTACCAGTTTAAAAGTAGGATTAAGGTTAGTTAGACTGTAAATTCGCAAACGCTGGGTGTTCTAGAGAAAGAGTTGGGGTGGTTCCCCCTCATGGTTCTGGAAGCAGCCAGTGAAGAACCGTTTTATTACTTAATGTCATAGCGTGAATACACATCGTTCAGTGTCAATTTGACGTAGCGTTGACGCTTTTGTTTAGTTATGGCACTACGGCGCTAACGCTGGGCGTCAGAACCGCTCCGCCCAACGCCTTTGTTTAGGTATGGCAGTATGATCAACTGAGGGGCTGGTCCCCATTAGCCTGACTAGGAAATAATCAGACTCGACAGATCGGTCTGATATTACCGTACTAATTTAGAGCGCTTCAGAGGTGAGTCCAAAGCCCGGATTGCCGCTCGTTTGGCAGTTTAGATGCTTACATCCCTTTCCGATGACCTGTAGCTAAGCAGCCAGTTGCCTCTAAGTTAGGGCTGCCATAATCCTGAGCCCATCGACCAGGACACTTATTCTCTTTGGTTCTAAAACATATTTGATCTGAACCTTAATTATTTAAATAGAAGTATGATTTTTATGAACTAAAAACTGCTTTAAAAGAACTTTTTCAAAAGACCAGAAGTACGTCCTACAAAAGCCCATCTGGAAGCTCTTCTTTGAGTAGCGAAAGCAGAAGCCCTTTTTAGTGCCTCTCCGTACCAAAAAGGAAGGAGAACAGAATGGCTTTCAGAAAGGCCTTTTTGAAGAGATTTTAGTTATCTACTGCGTAGTATGTGTGACCCCTCAGCCTTATACCTGTTCAGGAACTTGCACTTTTTTGGCATTTGCCTGAAAATACAGAATTCGATTTTAACCAAATAAACTCGCCAGATATTATTCAACATGTTAGAAAATTTTTTTCATTATCGATTTTCGACTACTAATGACAGAAAGCTTAACCTTTTTTCAAAGCAAAAATCTGCTAAAAATTAGATGGGTGTCTTCATTGACCTTCATTAAAAAAAACCAGGACAATTTTAGTGTGGACCAGGACATTAGTACAATTTGTTTAAATCAGGACAAATCCTGGAAAACCAGGACGTCTGGCAGCACTCTAAGTTCGAATGCAGCTGCAATGCTTCCTATTTACGATACTCATGTACAATTGGATGAAATCAAATTTATACATCATTAAATGAGCAACATCATCCGTGTAGGCAATCACTGGGCAGTCTTTAATTGCCAGCTCCTAGCAGACTATTTACGTGCACAACCAAAACAGATGTGAGAGAACACCAAACTCTGGCGTGCCCATGTTTACCCTACAAATGTACATTCCAAACGTTGTCAAAAAGCAAGCTCATATAGCTTAATTAAACCGCCACAATTAAGCCTTTATGTATGCGGGCTTTATTTATTGATTTCATGATCGTGTGTAGAGTAGGGATGTCGGAAAAACATCGATGCATCGAAAATATCGATGTTTTGCTTCGATGCATCGAAAATTTTCCACTCGATGTATAAATAGTCGATGTATCGATGAATCGATGTATCGATGTTTTTTGAAAACTGACATATACGGTACATTGAACCGTCAATCCAGTTTTTCAATTGTTCAAAACAAAGAAGTGACTTTGGCCAAAAAATTTAAATGGCTGCAAGAAGTTCAGTTAGAAACATAATTAGCTCAGTTGCAGTAATTTATTTCAAATTTTCTACAATTTTGCTAATAACATATTTTGTTGTGAAACATTATCTGAAAAATCCTATGCAGATCGATGCATCGATGTATGCCCTTCGATGCATCGAAAAATATCGATGTACATTTCGATGCATCGAATCAAAGAAAAACATCGATGTATTCGCTGCCTTTATATTTGGGTGTATTTTATTTTAAAAGGCACTGCACAAAAGCTGTTTACACGCTGTTAGCACGAACACAAACCATTAATACATGGCCACTCAAACTAGGTTTGATACTTTCAATCTTTGTTGCCGTTAGGAATGTATACTTTGGGAGCCATTATCTGGAAAGAAAAAGCTGTGTGTGCACTGAGCAGAAGTAGAGATTGATCTTTGAACACATTACTTTCGACTACATGTGAGCTGCCAGAATGTTTGGTTCCAGGTGTAAGAAAAAAATTATATTACTAATTGGCTCATTTAACGTAGAATTTCGTTTACTTTTAGAAACTTACGTATTGGCAGAGCTTGCCTTTAAGCTAATTTTCCCTTGAAGAATGTCTAGATAGAAAAATTTTCAGAAAATAAGAACAAATAATCACTTTGGAGGATATCATACCCTAAACAACAATTTTGTATAAATTTTTCCTTGCAATTTACTAAATATGATGGAAATTAAGCAAACTTCAAAATTGTGCTATTTTGAATAGATATTTAAGTTTGGGCAATTACGTCCTTGAACAGAAAATAATCGCTATTATAGGGCTGCCAGACGTTCTGGTTTTCCAAGATTTGTCCTGATTTAGACAAATTGTTCTGGTGTCCTGATCCACACTTAAATTGTTCTGGTTTTTTAATGAAGGTCAATGCAGACACTCTAATTTTCAGCAAATTTTTGCTATGGAAAAGGGTTAAGCTTTCTGTCGAAAATTTGAAATCGAAACGTTTTTTCTAACATGTTAAATATCTGGCAGTGATGGAAAAGTAGGCACAATAGTGCCATTTTTGCATTTTAATTTTCAGAGGCACTTTTGGCACAATTATAAATTATAGAAATTTGACATGATATGCCGGTATATAACAAAAATCACATACTAAATTATAGATTCAAAAATTACAACAAGTAAAAAATTAACACCACTTTAATTAAAAAAGGCCGTGAAAAATATTATGTGGCAACTCTTGACAAAACGCTGAATTCTATTCAGAATACGCAGTACGAAAAGTAAGATTTCGCAACAAAAAAATTTTAATTCAGAATTTTTAGATATGTAATTTTATAGTCCACTAAATATTGATACGTTTTTTGCTGGTGTCATGCATTTTCATGAATTTAAAAAATTTTCGAACACACTTTATATGGAGGAAAATGCGTGTAATAGTAAGCTTGGAATCTCTCAAAAAATTCTGAATTAAAAGTTCCTTATTATGAAAACATGCTGAATTTTTTTACTCTTTGAACAAAGTTTGAAATTTCGATTTGTGAACAAACATATACATGTCGTTACCTTAATATAGAACGGCCCTAACTCATATAGTCGCTGAAATACAAAAAAGCCGTAACTAACAAAAAACTTGTATTGCTTAAAATGATGTGGGGACTTAGAATTCGATGAAATGCATCATAATCAATCAAAAGGGTATTTTGAATTTTTACTTAGTTACGGATTTTTGTATTTCAGCGACTATATGAGTTAGGGCCTTTCTATATTAAGGCAACGATGTGTATGTCTAAGAGAATCCTTCATCAAAGTGATTTACTGTACTAATTTATTTAATTACTGATTGTTACATTACTTCAGTATGTTTTAAAAATACTATTTCTAAAAATATATTGTTCTTAAAAGGCCTTATAAGAAAGCAGTTTTAATTTTGTGGCACTTTCATCTCCCTTTCGGCACTATTTTTGATGATCATTAGGCACATTTTGAAATTTTGATATTCCATCCCTGATATTTGGTGAGTTTACCTTCTTTGTAGGACGTCTTTTGAATAAGTTATTTGAAAGTTTTTATTAATTCATAAAACTCATACCAAATAGTTTTATTTAGACTTAAAATGCTTACTGAATCTTATTTGTGATGCTAAGTAATATAAACATATACTTAAGTACATTCGCGTAAATTGTAAATAGGAAACACCTTTCTTGGAAGCATCAAGGGAAGCACTTTTTTAGTCTTTGTTGCGTAAGTCTTTATAATGGCTTCACTTAAGGCATCAAATCTAAATTATATTCAGGTTATGCCTATACAAAATGGCAAAAATGATCAGGAAGAGAGTTGTAGGATATGGGGAACTTTGCTAATGGTGGTAAGACAAACATTCCAGACCACGTTAAAGGCGCCGCCTTTTCCAAGTTACGTCATCGTCACGAGAAATTGTTCTTTTGTGATAAAAAAAATTCAGAACTTGAGCGTGTCATCATCACCAATTATTCAGCTCTACGGATTGTGCCACAAAACTGCATTGTTTATAATATCAGAACCATAGCAACTGAACTTATAGGGAATATATTGGCACCATATTCACTTGTATCTTCGTTTTTCATTGGGTTGATAAGTGTCCTGGTCGATGGGTCAAGGATTATGGTAGCCCTACCCTGCAGGGAAAGCCCCGGACTAGTGAACCAAATTTTTAGTTCTGTACTAGATCTTTATCGCCAAAAACGAACCAGTCCGATAGTAATTAATCATGGTTTGGTAATACAAAAAAAAAATTGTTATTAATATTCTAACATCTTGGGGCCTTCCGGCATGTAGGTAACCAATAACAGCAAGCAACTCTACACACTCACCTACAGCTAAAGTAAAAATTGTTTTCAAATTCAAATGAATTAAACTGATTCAAACAAGTTTGATTTAAAATTGAAAACATATTTCATTGAAAATAAAATAATAATAAATGAGGCACGTCCCCCCGTGCGGATAGGGGAATGCCCAGTAGAAATACAGGGGAGGCGGGAAATAAAATACAGCCCGTGGATCAAAACTGGTAAATGCAGTGAAAAGGGTAATCTCTTTATGTGC